TTACCTGGAAAATTATAACAAATTTGTAAATTTTCCATACATAGACTCTAACCGGGGGGTGGGGGGGGTGTCATCTATTTGACTTGAATATAGTATTTACAGCCTTAGTTAGCCCTAAAGGCTGATTTATTTATTTATTTTAGAGGCAAGAAAATTATGGTAAGGGCTTGGTTATTTTTGTGCTATAGTTAAGGTTTAAGAGCTAACCTGTATCCTCTGAGACTCCCAGTAGATCCTCCAGCAGAACTGGGAAAGTCGAGACTGACATTCCTGATACCTGTATTTTTTTTCTTTAGAGACAGTTAAGGACTTCATTATTAATTGGGGTCTCCTTAAAAAGGGCAAAAATCCTGTTTGTGTTGCTTTTTAAAAACGAGAGCTTAGATTATAGAGTACTAGAGTGTAATGGTGGGGGTCTTGGACCTTCAAGACAGGTCACTGTGAATGCACTTTACTCAGAAACATTTAAAACTGAACCTTCTTGGCATTAAATTGGCTGATGCCCCTTAATTCTGCTAATCAGTTGGAACTAACAGTCAGTCTTTGTTTGACTTCAGTAGGTTGATCTCAAGACATGGGCATGCACCTGCTGTTTGCTTATCATTAATGGACAATATAAATATGTTTTAGTAAACCACCTTCTGTTGCAGAATGGCTGCCTAGTCTGTTAAAATGCTCTCCTTTGCCAGTGCATAAATAGGTTTCTTGTTCTTTGCCTCATTTATGTAAATAGTGACTCTAATATTAAAGCAGCAAGACTCTGTGTTATGTTTCTCTGGGTAACATGTTCTGTCAGCATTTAAGCATGTACAGTCTGTTTCCACAACCTAGAGTCCTGTTGAAATGATCCATTTTACTGAGATTTTTTTTTTCTCTCAGTATCTTTCTGTGGAAGTTCACAAGAAAGAAGGAACAAAAAGGGAAGAGGTGGTGCTAGGTATTTCAAACGTTAGGCTGGCATAATTCCTCCAGTATCGGGCCCTGAATATGTTCCCCAAACTGTCTGCCTACAGTTGCCCACACTGGAAGATTTGACATGAAAGATACTTTGCTTGATTAAAGATGTAGCACAACCTGAAAGCAAGAAGTCTTTAGTTCAAGGCAATGCATCAGACCAACAAGAACTTATGAGTTTGATTCAGGAATCCCTTTCGTATCTATGGTTCTCCATAGGTCACCTTTTCACCTTAAATTCTGAAGTCAGAAGAATTCATATTAGAAACTAGATTCAAATTCTGAGCAATAAGGATAATTATCCAGTGGGAAAGATTACTGTCAAATGCAATGAATTTTAAGATTGGGCACCTTTCTGAAGCACTGTTTCAGTTGCAGGTGGTATGGATGGATGCTCTTCATTCATATTTTAGGGAAAGGGAGCTTTTGCAGTTGCATGTCCTACTAAAGGAAGTCCTTTGGTCTGTGCTTTTATAGGATGCTCATAACAGCCCCTTCTAGCTTTTAAAGCCTGTGAACTTGTGCTCTTAGGCTGGAAGAGCTAGTAAGATGTTAAGGGTTTTTAATGTTGAAGTATTTGCTGTGCCCTCTAGTGGCCATTGCTCTCCTTAGTTCTTTTTTTAGAACAAGAACTGTCTTTAAAGCCATGGCACAGTTTGATCTTGTGGCATAATTTTTTCTGTTGGGGTAGGCAAACTGATCTTAACTGAATGCAGGTTGCCAGCATTTAGAGACAAGCTGATGTCAGTACCATTAATTAAGTTTGCAAATGCTTATTCTGGTCTTTAATCAACCAAGTAAAATTTCATGTTTTCACTTTTCTTGTAAGCAAAACTAGTCCTTTCTTTTAATGGTGACCTGGAAAAGATTAAAAAAAAAACAACAAAAACAGGCATACCCCTTTTTAAGTGCACTAAAAGAAAAATGCCAGAGTGGCTTGTGATGCTGCTTTATTTGTTTTTAACAATTACTGTCAGTCTGGCAACTGATCCTGGCTGGTTTGGGTGTAGAGGTTGGGGGTTTTCCAAGAACATCTGTACTTTCTGTCTTCAATTTAAGAAGCAGAATTGTTGAGTCTTTTATCAACCTCTATCAAAATCTGACTTGGTGAAAGTAAAGTAATTCATAACTAGTCTGAATAAAATAGCTAACAAGTTAAGAAAATGCAACTGATCTGGTCTAACCCAGGAATTTTAACAAGTAGCTAACAGATTGCAATGACTGTTTTCATTTCTAGTGAATGCAAAACCCAAATTAACTAGCTACTTTATAATTTTAGTATTTTGCCTAGGCTAGGGAGGAGGGTAGGCAGTGAGCAAAGCTGATCCCTTGTCTTTGGGATGAACAACAGGATTTAAAAATACATCTTGAAGAAATATAAGGTCACAAACCCCATTTTATTCCCTCTGCTGCAGTTGAATCTTTTTCTGAGTTGATGAGAAATCTGTTTAAGATTTTCACTGGTTTTCAAGGATGTTAACTCATTCTTTAAAAATAAAAATCCATGTTTACATATTCCAGTGAATAAAAAAAATCTTGGCTTCTAACAGTACCATATGTAAGATATTATTGCAGGAGACTGAAACTCCCATCAGAAAATGACTCTTTTTTGCTAACAAGCAGCCTTAGACCCTTTTGTCCTTTCTTGCATGGTACTGCTTTGAGTAAATTTGTACATCAAACAGTGATGCTAGCAATTTTTGCTTTAATCAAATCTAAAGAACTAAAGAATAAAATAGAGATCCTGTTTGTGTTCAGACCCATTGGAATACACGCTTTAAAGTTCTGATTTGTTGCGTTTTTTTAAATGAGTATCCTATGGTAAGGCTACACTAATATACTAGCCCTCTCTCAGGCTTATTTTAAGCTTCTATGGTTCAGAATCTGAATAGCCAGGTTTTCACAGAACAGAAGATAGGCATTCACTTCAGACATTTGACATGGTTATTAAGCAGCTGTTGCCAGCATCCGGTTTTGAATGCAATGCAAATATTATAGACTGTCTAGCTTGTTAGAGTGAGGATAGTGAGCAAGTCGCATATGGGTTGTTAAGATTCAAGATCAGTCCTCATGATAAGCAGCACTCTGCCTAGGTGTGTTTGTTCTGCGGTGGCTTTTAGAAAGCACAGGTAAGCATTGATTACTGAGGCTGTTATGCAGAGCCCAATACAGTGCGCTCGCCCTGACTGATTAATAGTGAAGTCAATAACTTTCTGATTGTGATGCAGAATTTGGGGGTTTTATCAACACTATTGTGGAGAATTCCTCTCAACATTTCTGCTGTAGAGCAAATTATTGCCTCCCCCCAGGTATTCAGCTGAGTGCACTTGTCCCTTGAGCACAGTCTGTTTATTTTCACTGTGAGATGGGAAGAGGAGAACAAGGTAACACTACGGCCTTTCAGTGCCCCAATCTGCTCCTGTTAGGAGGAGACACGCTTGTGTTGTGAATGTAGAAGTACTACCTCTGCAATCCTGATATTGGTAACAAATGTGAACTTCCTGTGTCGTAAAACCAGTGGAGGATTAACGCTCTCCAGCTCTTCCTCTTGGATCCTGATAGACTTGATTATATCGTCAGGTGTTGTTTTCCTTCAGATTCCCTGCAGAGCCTGACAAACACACTGTCCTTTTTGTATTTCTTTCATTGTCCTTGTTATCCCTTTACTCTCCTCTCAGTCGCAACTAGCATATTACATGTAGAGTGGATGTTGCCTTTTGGGGAGAGGAGTGTCAGAAAACCTCTTGACAACTCTGGCTGAGCATATTTTACAGCATTGATCCATATTAATGGGACTCTAGCCTGTTCTGATAGTATCCTCAACTGAGCCAGCTGCAGAATGGCCCAGAGATGTTCTTAAACAGTTCCTTCTCCAACAAGGAGGACCATTTGGGCAAAACCACTTTTACGGGGCCGGGGGTGGGGGCGGGGAGGGCGCTCAGTCACCATTTAATGTTGATTAGCTCTAAACAGAATCTAGGACCACCTATCACTTTATGCTCCATCTTTTTAAGGCTAAGTATTATGCTTTCAAAACACTGTTAACCCGTGAAGTGAAGCTTCAGTATTTTTCTGTATATCTAAATGGCAGAAAACTAAGTCATTAGGCAGGATGAACTCATTAAATAATTTTAATTATCATCCCACTTTAAGTAGATGAAATGCAAAGAACATACTGTTGACTGAATGTTGCCTTTTGGAGGCAGGAGCTGGGCAACAGGAAGCTGTTACAAGTTATGTTCCTGGGATAACATTTGCACACACAAATCAATAGATTTCAGCCACACAAACCCTGTACTGAATCAACACAACTTCTAGTTGGAGTGAAACTACCAAGATGAATCAGTTTCCCTTTTCACTTATGGCTTCTTGGGATGTAAAACAAAAACTTACTTTTTCTTGCTTCTTGGAAATGGGAAGTTCGGGAAGTCTGGATCATGAGATACTAGCTGTCCTCTTATCTTTTTACACGTCCCCAACAAATCCTGAAAGAGCAGGCTCAGTCTTGTGTGGGCCCACAGCTGTATCGCTTAGGTTTCCACACCAAGCTTATTGCCAGAGTACCTGAGGAGTAACATAAATGCAGAAGATTATAATGCCCTGCCCAGATGCCTCTTATGAAAAACTGGGACTAGGTTAGTAACTGTGGCAGCTGATCATGTTTTGCCCTTTTCAGAAGCCATAGATAGAACAAGGCTGTGTTCTTGTTAAAGTTCATAAGGCTCGCATTTTTTATTGTTGTTGTATGGACAGGCTCTTCTAGCTGTCTGTGCAACTTATTTGGCTGTTCTGATTTGGCTGCTCTGAATTATAGTAGGACACCAGAAATGTTCATTCATACCAGTGTCCTCTAAACACCACCTAGGTTGAAAGAGCCTGAATACCTGGACAGAGTTTCCTCTTGTTATATAGTCAGTATGTAGCTGTAATGTGTGCAGGTTCCAAAACCTGACATGTAGCAAAGCGCAAGTGTTGCGTCTCTGCAGTGCACAGGATTTAACATGGCTGTTACATGTATATTAACCCAGTTCTGTTTTGCTTTACAGTACACAAAAGAAGGCTCAAATGTAACCAGTTACTGCCATGAGACCCTTCCAGGATGGGTGCATGATGTACTTGGCCGTAACTGGGCATGCTTCCTTGGACAAAAAGTGTCTCCTTCTCCCTCCAGCATTCGTATACACCAGTTGCCTCTCCAGAAACCAAAGGAAAGGTGAGAGCATGAAGTTAATGAAGTTGCCTTCAACCTAAGCTAATTGTAGCATCCAAGTACATCTGTTAATGTACAAAGGATGCCAAACTTGTTACCTGGAGCCATAGTTAAAAGTTCATTTTTTGTACCTTTTTAATTAAACATCTTTCTGAAGTGGACATAATTCTTTGTCCTTAACGTAACTTTAGACTGTGATGTTATTAATCCAGCTGTATTATGGGAATGATGGGATGCAGATATGTTGCAGCTGTGTTGCAAAGCCTTTTTGGTAGAAAGGGCTTATATTGTATTATCACAGCACTTGTGCAACCAGTGAGAGAGACTAGCCTTCAATTCCAACCTTTCTGTGCTGTTTCCAACTCTTTTTGCAGGTTTTCAAGCAGACCTTATTTGCACAACCGTGACTTTGTGAATACTATCAACACTGTTCAGAAATCCTGGACTGCAGCAGCCTACAAGGAATATGAAACTCTGACTCTGGAAGAACTGACTAAAAGAGCTGGAGGCCTCCACTCCAGAGCCCCTAGGTATTAAGGTGTTCTGCTTGTATCGCTGCAGAAGGGTGACTTCTTGGCTGTTAAGAATCTGTCCATCTCCCTAGGGATCTAGGTAGTCGTGCTGATTTGTTGCCAGTTGAAGAGCTGGCTCCTAGTTCAGATCAGATTATATACAGTCCAGCTGTAGTCAGCTTCCCAGCTTTCTGATGGAGTGCCAGTGTATTCCCCGGCTTGATTTCTGATTATCCAAACATCTGGCTGTCTTGAGCAGTTCACAAATAGAATTATTTCTGGCTTGATTTTTTTATTTTTTATTTTTTTGGCTTGCTAAAATGTATTAGGGAAAGAGATTGTGACAGGGCAGAAAATATGGGTTTGGAAAGACAGCTGGCCCTTTTTAAGCACCAATCAGCCAAGGATGACCATACACCTACACCAGCAGGTATTTTTATTTTTTGTTTAAAATGGACAGTTCATAAATTTCAGTTCCACAGCAACTCTAGTCAAATATAAAGGAGGCTGAGTTCCAGGGCATATCATCTGGGGAGCTGTCTCTGTGGATGAACTGGGGGAGAACACTGTTCTGGCATGCACAGTTAAGGTGAATTCAGTTTTTCATCCTACTGAAGCCAAGGAGCGATCACTTAGACATGTGTGGACACTGCTCCAAACAGCTCACTGTAGCTACTGGTAGAGCTAGGAAACAGGCTGTGGAAGCAAAGGCCTAGAGTTGTCAGTGCTTTATGCACTCTAATAGTCTTCTGTCTAGACAGTGACACGTTAATATCAGAAGTGTATTTTTCTCTTTTTAGACCAAGGCCAGCACCGCTAACACCTGAAATACTTAAACAAGCTTCAAGTTTGCCAGAATCCTGGGACTGGAGAAATGTTAATGGTGTCAACTACGTCAGTCCTGTGCGAAATCAAGGTATAAGATTTTCTTTGTGAATCTCTATATAATGAAATTGCCTGGAAAAAGCACCACTTTGCTAATCGACTGGTTGTGGCTGGCAGGGAAGGTCAATATGCACTTTGTACTCAAAGATGGCTTGAAAAAGTTTCTGACTCTTGCTGTCAAACTAGAGGATACTCCTTTCGATCAGAGCATCTGAATTACTAGAGGAGTGAAAGTAATTTACCAGAGCACTTTGCATGGTGATCTGCATCAAATTCTGTTTGTCCAAGCTGTCACAATGATGGATTTCTGGTATCTCTAATATTAGAATTGATACAGTTCAAGTTCAGTTATTAATTCTTCCACTAATTACAGCTGACAGCAAATTATCATACAGGTTTAAAGAACAACCCTCTAAAGGATAGCTTCTACCACCCTCAAGTCTCATTACTGTAAATCATTTTAGGGACAATTATAGTTACGTGATTGATCTGTTGAGAATTAAGTGTTGGTTTGAACCTTGAAGTGTGAACAATGCTAAATGTCTGACACCTTTATACAATGAAGGCCAACCTTTTTTCCTTGCTCATACAATGGGAAAATCTATTACTGATTACTTAGCCTGAAAATCTTTAATAATTTCTAGTCTAGAGTTCAAATTAGTTTGGGGCTACTGTTTTCCAAACCTTCCTATTGATGAAAATGGGATACTGTCTGCCATATAATGAAACCATATCCTTAAAGCGTTGCTCTCTTGCCAAAGCTGAGAGACCATGGGAAGATTGGCTTACAATCAATGATGTTAGTAATAGGAAATATTTAAATCCCTACCCAAGTGTTCTCAACTGTTAGCCACTCTTTTTATACCTGTCCTTCCTACATATTCCCATTTCCTCAAAATAAATGTCTTCCTTTCCTCAGTGAGCATGACAAGATCCAAGGCTTTTATCTCCTGAAGCACTGTTCTCATTATGGTCAATCTTGCTTTACTGCTTCTTGGCAAAGGGATTGCCTCTACCTCCTTACAGTGAAACTGTAACTTGAATATTTTAAAAGTTTAGGGAATATGTTTGCATATCACAAGTAACAAATCTTTCAGTCCTTTGTAAGAGATCAAAGGCAATTTTAATGCAAGTACCACTGATATCCACAATAACAATCTTGTTCACAGTAGCATAAAGTTTAGGTTTAGATGCTGAAAAGCTGGCCCTTGAGAATGAGTTGTGAGCTTTAAAAAGCATCTCTTCCTAATGCTGAAGTGTCCATATGAAGGTTTTGATAATTGCTGAACTAATAGCAAGATTATGCTTTCTCTCACAGGTTGTATCCAAACTACACTAGAGTCCTGATGCCACTAACAATATCTTTTTCAAGAAGTAACATCCCAAATGGACATATTTCATAAGGAAGAGGGGAAAGGGAATGAAGGAGCTTGCAGGGACTTTAAGCTGATCCCATACAATTATGATCTTTCTCTAGCACATTGTATTCCCAAGTATAGTCAGAAAAAGAAATTGGATAACATCTTTATTTAGTATGGTAATTTCAAGAGGCAAAGCTCAGTTTGAAACTAAGTGAACAGAACAAACAGGATCGTGATACAAATTAGACTTTGATTTTAATATTGGTGTCCATATGTATGAGGTAAGAAAAGCATATCCCTTCAGTGTGTCTAGAATATCCTACTTTTTTTGGAAAGGATATATTCCTCTCCAGTGGTTGTTGCCATCTATTTCTACTGTTGGGAAATATTGCTGAGCAAATACATCTCTGTAACAGATTGGACCTGGGGAGCTACAGTTCTCAAAACTCTGTTCTATCTCCTGTAACTTATGTGCAGAATAGGTGAAAGGATAATGACCTCCTGGTTCCTCACCTTTGAAATTCTGTGCTCTTCAGTCATTATTCATAATTTAATGATCCTTTACCACAGTGGAATCTAATGCAGTTAAGCCTCTAATTGACTTGGGATTGAATTTGTGGGAAGCTTTGGACATACAACAGCTCTAGCAATTATCTTTGTGTCTCTGCTGATATTCCACTTGTGTGGTGCTCATACTGAAGTCTGCTCAGACAAATGTACTATTGCATTTAAGAGTGTGGGGCTTGAGCACAGTATCATAATGTCTTAGGCTTTCAGGGCAAAGCGGTTTCATTTAACATACCTTTGTAAATGAGGCACAGCAAACATGTCTTTCTGTGGCTTGGCCAAGCAACCAATGATGCTCTGATTATGCAAGAGTGGGTGAAGCCTTTCATAACTTCAATCAGCCCTGCTGGGAAAGAGCATTCATGTTAAGAAAGGGCCTTCCACCCCCTTCTTGTCAGAGATGCAGCTAAGTTCACATTTGAATTACAGTACAATTTCATAAAGTCCTGCTTTTATAATAGCCCTGCTTGTTACCCACCTACACATTTAGACAAGGTATTTTGTTTTTCTTTTTGTTCCCCCAAACCTCCTTCCTTTTTAAATCTTTGCCATATTTCCCTCTGTTTCATGACAGCAGGTAAGTCAATCAGGTACCTTGGTGATGAGCAATAGACAGAATAAGACCTCATGCAAGCTCCACAGTGAGTCTCACATTCACAGGTTCTTGCTGCATTATAGAGAATGCCGAGCAGGTGAAAGCATGAAAACTGAATGGTGACACTAAATGTTGGTGTAGAACAGTGGCTAGGGAGACTTAACTTGTAGTTGCCTGGAAGCAGAGGACAACTAAGTACCTCCAGAAAGCCTGTGTAATTGTTGGCTCCTTGGGGACGATAATTATAAAAATCCATTGCATCAAGCCTTGCATTTACATTACTGGACTCTTATGTGGTCTTCTCAAAGCAGCTGTAGAGTTGGAAATATATGGGGAATTTACAGTTCTGAAACGACTGATGGGCTGTTGCTTATGACTAGAGTTCACTTGATCCAGATTGTACTAGGCATGCCAAGGCCCTGTAAAGGGTGGTCTGTGAAGTAGTTGATTGAGAGCATCCTCTGTACCTTACTAACACACATGTCCTTTTGTAAACATGTGAACGTTATGAAACTTGAGAACTGGCTAATTAAAAATATGATTTTAAAAAAAAATAATTTTAAAATAAGAAAGCATATTTAAATTTCTTTCAGGAAAAAGCATTCTCTTTGATCACCTCAGCTGCTCTTATTAAGGGTTCTCTACATATTTACCTCCATGCTTAAGGTTAAATGTACCTTCAGAGACCTTGCTGAGTTATTGAAGCCTAGCTTGCAGTCATAGTCTGCATCCACTTGTTTCCCCAGGGACAAGAAGCAGAGCATGCTTTTTGTTGCTGCATGTCCCCAGGGAATGCCTGTGCCATGAACCGTCCCGTGTGCAGCAAGTTACCCCAGGTGGGGTAGGAGAGGCTGAAGCCAGCACTGAGCCTTACCTGAGGTCCTGGGGGTCTCCTGGGGCTGCAGCAGCGGTGATCCTGCCACTCAGAGCCTGACCAGCAGCTGGAGCATGGCTCTGGCCAGCCAAGTGTTGTGTGGCATGCGCTACCCATGTATATGCCACTCCTCTTTATTTTGCACAGGGTTTTTGACCCCTGCATCTCCAGCAGCCAAAAAACCCCCCAACCAAGCAGACAAAAAACACTACACTGCTACATTGCAGCATGGAGAATACCTGAATGTGTGGAGTTGGCACCGTGGTACCATATACCACACAACCATTCTCATCTGGACACGGCCATAGTGTACACAGGGGGAAAAAAGCAAGCATGGTTTAATTCACCTGGTGTGATGCTAGGTTCATGTCCATGCGGCATACCAGCCTTGCTTAGTTTATTGATATACTGCATTTCCTGTTTTTCCCCAGCATCATGTGGCAGCTGCTATTCCTTTGCTTCCATGGGCATGTTGGAGGCAAGAATTCGCATCCTAACCAACAATTCCCAGACACCAGTTTTTAGTACCCAGCAAATAGTGTCCTGTAGCCAGTATTCTCAAGGTAAGTACATTGAATACCAAAGTGTTAGTCTAGTATTCAGCAGTGCAGGAGGAATACTCCATCAGATCTAACTGCACTAGTGAAATCCCTTGTGATGGATCTGTTTTTTAATTCTGCCCTTGGTTTTTGGGTGAGAAAGATCATTTGCAGTGAAATGGGTGCCTCCATGACAGCAAGAAACCTAAGCTGTTGGAATAAGTTGACGTCATGATTGAGAAATGTGGTTAATTCTCGGCTGTCAAACTGAATGGCTACATTTTGTGGTAGCTGATTTCTTTGACTACACCAGAGTGGACTGTATTCCAGGATCACTAGCATCTCTTCTGCTGTCTGCTTGGGCATGTTCTGTTGGCTAGAATCACTGGTGGGAGACTGGCTGGCCATTTGCCATCTGCTTTTCCTCTTTTTATTCTACAAAAACTCTTAAAGGCATCCATGCTCTTCACCTGCAGCCTGGCTGTGTGCAGCAGTAGCTTTAAATGAAAGGAACCTGCAGAGGGAAATATAGTAAAGTAGGATACAGGACTTGAACTCCATGTCTAGGGGAGTCGCTAAAAGAGCCAGGTTGCATATTGGGCATTGGGAGGAAGGAACCAAGTATGCCAAAACAGTAGGCAGGGGGAGAGGAAAGGAAAAAGCAAAAACAGTGACTAACTTACACCCCCCTCCTTTTCTGAAAGGGCACAGTTCCCATAATGACAACTGGAGTATGTGGTATTTTTAACAGTAGGTTTTCATGAAAATACTTCAATTGCTGTAGTTCACAGGGCATCATCCTAATCAAAAGTGGAGTAGGAGATGGCTTGTGTGTTTCAGAGGGGAAGTTGGTGTGGCAGGTGCAGTGTGGGGT